CTGTGAATTACTTTCTCCCACTATTAATCAAGTTTTTTAATATCAATTCAATGAAAATAGCTAATAAATTATATGGGATGGTGAATTCACTATTTAATTTCATGAATATATATATATATATATATATATATATAAACAAGATTATTAAAACCGGATGTTATAGGCATTGACTAATCATTAAGTTTAAATACAATAAAAAATTAAATGATTTCAAGTAAATATCATCTATGTCTTAAAACATAACCGCTATATACTCACGTCGTTTGTAGGTAACATCAAATAGCAAAAGTAGTGCGGTGGGAGTGTCCTTGACATGCAATAATAATAATATAAGTTTATAAATCCTTACAGGTATAACTTAATTAATCATGTTCTAAGTTTATTTTCTAAAAATTATTAGTTTGAGTCTTATAAATTTTAGGATCACTGAAAGGTTACATGATTGTTAATTTCAAAACTTATAGGATTAGTAAAGATGCGTGTAAACTGACCCTGACATCTATGTTACTAAAACAAATATATAAATGTATTTAAAATAACAAGGATTAGTCAAGGTCATCCTAATCTTAGATAGGTTCTATTACACAAATTTAAAAAAAATCTAAAAACTAAAAGGGTGTACATGGAAAAAAGTTGTTTACTATCTCCCTATGATAAAAAAAAAAAAAAAAAACCCTTGTAGGCTATTAAATGAAAGTAAAATTGTCAGTGCATTAGGCCTATTTAGACATTTTAAAATTGATCAATGATAAGAGGGGTATTTGCCTTTTTTTCATATAGTTAAAAGACTAAAATACTCTTAAAAATAAGATAGTGTAAGTCTTTTATGAAGGGGTTGTATAATTTTTTCATAAATTAGTGCATGCTAGAATAACCTATTTACCCCTAAAATAAAAAGAAGTTGAACTCGGAATGAGAGGTATATCACTTTTAAAAGCATTGTAAAAAGATTTAATGAACCTTGAAGTTTATATTCTTATGCCTTGGTTTGAGGTCATTTTTGTTATTGTACCTTTTAAATCATTTTGGCGGTCCCCTCATTATATGGCAAGCACGTATACCAAATAAAAGTCTAATTTGATGTTAATAACCATTTTTTCTTTCCTTTTCTCTCTCATTTATTTTGACACCCTGTCTTCTAATTTCTCAAATCAACCCTTCAATGTTTCTCTTCTTTTGACTTAGACCTTTTTCTTTAATTACTATTTGTTTTTATTTAAAATAATATATAATTTTGAGATTTATTTTTAATTTCATCCTCATTTAATTTTTTTTATTTTTAAAACTTACATCCCATTTATTTTAATTGCTATTCATCTAATTTGAGATAAATTTTAGAATTAAAATTTTTTTTAAGGATCTCACCCTTCTTCATTTTCTTCCTATAAGATTGTATCTTTATTCTTTTGGTTTTTTTTTTTTTACTTTGGGGAATTTTTAAATTGATATAATTTTTTTTTTATTTCATCATTTCATATTAAATTGGTTTGGATTTGCATTTCTTAGTTGAACCTGTGTCTAAGATTTCATGAGTTTCAGGGTTAGGAGATTAATCCCAATTTAAGAGATTTGTTGAGCTTGGCTTAAGTTTTTTTATACATATTTTAAAGCTAATAGTTTTTTTAATTTTATCACTCAATATTTATTTAATTGGAGAATGAACTTCTTTTTTTATTTTCTTTCTACATCCTCTGTTTTATCCTTAGTTATTTTTTTATTTAATTAAGTTGTCTCAAGTTTTTTTATTTGTCGTTCTCATTAAATTTATTTTTAAGAAAAGAAATTTGATTCTTCAATTAAATAGAATTAATTGATTGAGTATCACTAATAGAAAATCGATAAATACAAACATAAATACCAAGAAAATATTTTCATTGGTAAATTGCTGAAGGATTTTATGGACGAAAATATTCCCTCCGTATGTACAAAGGGAATTACAGTGGGGAAAAAATAATTAAAACAAAGAAAAAAAAATGATGATGTTTTTACCGATGGAATTTATTTTGTCGGTATTTTACAAAAAGCTCTGGAACTATTTACTTCCCAATCGCATTGTTAATTACTATTCTTTATAAATAAAATTGTCAACGGATTAAAAAATTGTCAGTGTTATTTGGCGGTTTTTTGAAAAATTTAAGTTACATTAAAAATTTAAATTAAATATTGCAAACGGAATTACTGACAGATTGAAAAGTCGTCGGTGATATTTGACAGTTTCTAAATTTTTTATTAAATTCAAATTTTAAATTAAATATTATAGACAAAATCATTGATGGAGTGATTAAAAATATTAATATTTAATTATCCTACAATAAAACTGTCGGTAAAATACCCCAATAAAAAATCTAGAATCCCTAGTTTCACAACAAACTCATCTCCTTTCTTCCTTTTCTTTTCTTCTTTCCTCAACCCCTTTTCTTCTCCTCCATTCTCAGGTAGGTCTTCTTCTTCTTTTTTCTCTTTTCTTCCCAACTCTTTCTCTTCTCCATCATGCTCAGATATGTCTTTTTCTTCTTTCTCATTTTTTCTTCTTAGCTTTTTTAATTAGTATATTTTATAAAAAAAACATTTCTCTTCTTAACTTCACTTGCAACTACATTAAGGTAAAAAAAAATAATTCTTCTTTTTTTATATTTTTTTACTATATTTGTTTTTTATTTTATTTTTAATTGTTTTTTTTCTTAATAATTATATGAATGTTGTTGTGAGGTTTTTTTTTTCATATGAGATCAATTTTTAGTTGATTTATTTATAGAATTTTTAAATTTTTTCATATGAATTTTTTTAGTTGAATTTATTTTTTTGAGTAATTTATTTACTGCAATGTTTTTTAGAGTTGATTTTCTTCTTCTTTTTTCCAAGCATTTTGAGTATTATAAAGTTTTGATTAATATTAATTTAATTATTTTATAGTTTTATAAAATATATTTTATAAAATATTTTTTAAATAATTACCGATGGAATGAAATTTTTTTTACTCACTTTTTCCATCAGTAAATCTATTAATAATATTATTATTTTATTACTAACAGACTTATCGATAAATAAAAAATTATTGACAAAAGATTTATTGATAGAGATTTTCCGTTAATGATTTAGTTAATATTTTTTTTACCAACAAAATGATAGTGCAAATATAAATGGAAATTTCCATTGAAAAATCTAAAAATTATAATAATATATATGCATGAAATGCTCACTTAATTATTTTTGTTTATTTGCTTTCCAGTCATTACTTTAGCTATCCATGTAGTTTTTTTTTTTCATATTATTGTGCATTCTTTTAGAGTGGATCTAAACCATGTCGGAAAATTCTTTGGGTGGTAGATGGTATAAATAATTAAGTGATGGTAAGTCTAGACTTTTAACTTTTTTCTTTTCAAATATGGTATTGATAAATAATTATTATCAAATATTTTTTTTATGGTTTGTCCACTATTATTAGCCGATATTATCATTAGGTCCAATCAAATTAATTACCGGTGGATCAAGTTTCTCTTGTTGCTTAAAGAAAACGTTGTAATCACCCTATCATCCTTTTTACAAGTTAAAAAAATCTATTAGCCCCCTCGAAAAGCTTCTGGAAGGGCAGAGTAGGCAGAACACATAAAGAGATGAAGGGGGACAAATGATGGCCCACACGTGATTAAAACAGAAATGGAGCTTTCACCCCCCCTCCCTCTCCTTCTCCCTCTCCCTCTCCCTCTCTGTAAATTTGTCCAGTTTTGCTTTCACCATGCAATATATAATAAAAAAAAGCACATTAATTAATAAGATAAGAAGATAGCAAGGGGAGGAGTGCATGCAGCATTTTATGCCGGTGATCACAATCCCTAAATGGTAAAAGCCCCTTCATGGTAGGATGCTGTATATTTCAATCTCCTCAGTCCTCCTCCATGGCGCAAATTAACCCAAAAGAGCCTGCCTGCCTGCCTCCCTCCCTGGCCAGGCCATCATGTCTTGTTCTTTACTGCCCTTTTGACTAATGACCATGCCCTTCTCTTTTTCTACCCGTCTCTCTCAGAGTCATGACCCATCATACATCATCATCGTACTCTCCCCTCATTGACCATGTCATAAGTAACGGCTATATATTTCATGGTCCGGCAAAGCAACACCGATCTCTCTACATATCATCAATTCACTGATCAGCAAAGATGAATGCACAGTGCTTACCATCTTTTCCATGGAATATATTGCAAGTATCAAAGGCGAAGAGAATCAAACGGAGAAAAAAGGAGGAGAGAATGACCAAGTTCCACATTTTCTAGAGGGTCCTACAATCTTTATGCAATATTATTGTCGTACATGTAAACCCCACATGATATGCCTTAACTTGCTCGGCTTCTACACACACACACACACACCAAATTAAACCATCATCAAACAAGTAGATGAAGACTTAGAACTGTTCAATGCCCCCACAGTAATTAATTGAAGGACATCTTTTCAAGGTTGTGATTCATTTCATATCCCTTGCACACACTCGCTCTTTCCATCGGCAGTGAGAATAATCATGATCATATGTGTTTTGTACAAATGCATGGTTCAACAACACAGCTACCTAGGAGAAGAATAATAGGGGTCTGCATTTAACATGCACCCTTGTCATTGCTTGCGTCTAGCCAAGGGATTTGGCAACTTGGAGTCATTTCATGTGCATGCACTTGTTAGAACTTGCCCTTTCATGAAAATGACTTCGAAGGATAATTGTCACACGCATCTACATCCTTTGATGCAGGTGCAGCCATATGCTCGTATGGTGCAGCTATTTCATCCATAACAAAAATACATGCCCACAGCTTGCCTATTTATAGAATCACTCATGCCCTCACAAAGAGTTATATATTGTTTAAAAAAATTACCAGCTGTCTTTTTTTTTTTACTTGAATCTCCTTGCATGCATGTGGAAAATCAAATCCAAATGAAAATAGTTTAATGATCAGTCACGAATGCTTTGCAACCTGTGATCATGCACACATTTTAAATACCGAGACAAATTGCAGCTCCAATAATTGTATATAAGAGGAAATAAATGTCAGAAAAGAAAAGGGAGGTGAAATTTTATCTTAGGAACACTTGACTCATTGTGTTTCAGCCAAGTTCCTGGTCAACTATTATTCAAGGATTTGCTTATACACTGTCTAGTTTTTGGAAGTTTTGAGATTGCCTAAGCAGGAAGCCTAAAAAAGTTGCATAAAATGTGACTCAGCATAATCAGTACATTGGGAATAAATACAAACTTTCTGAGATCTCAACTGCTGAACTCAAGCAGTACTTGACTAAACTTCCGTAATTATTTCCTCTATAGTCATTTCTGAACCCAAAAGTTTTTGGCAGCGGTAGCTATGGAAGAAGCTCGAGTTCAGTGCCTCGATGTGAAACCTGCTGAAGCACAACTGTGCAGAAATGGCCAAGCAAGATAGGCTCACTGATAATTAAAAGCTCGGAGAATAATACAGCGATGCAGATCTTAGATGACCAGATGAGTTTGATGCGGCCACAAAAGGATTAATTTGCAATGCGCCAGGACCTTCTGGAGGACAACCCCACCTAACAGGACTTGTGTTGACTAGCCTGGTGGTGGATGCATGAAAGCTGCCGTTGTGCACCACTGGTGTTCCACCAATTGGAGGGTGCTCTTGTGACTGATAACAAGTGAAGGGATTCACATTTGTCATGTTATAGATCGGGATAGTTGGAACCGAGATACCTGATGGAACTACTTGTCTTTCCCTCCAGCCTTCGTTGTATTTTGTAATGTCACTCATCACAACAGTGTGACTTTCAGGAACATCATCAATGATGATGATTTCTTTTCCGGGATGAGCGAATGAATCAGCACGCTTGCAATGGCGGTCAGGAGTTTTGGTAGCTCTTTTCATAGTGCATGTGGGAAAGGTTTCCAGTCTTCTCTTTAGCCGGTTCTGTGAACTTGAAAAATTGTAATCCTCTTTGCACTGATGAGGCTTAATGGATGGTGCAAGGCCACCATCACTATGTTGGTCACAAAACATGCCTGCTGGTAGCTTTGATGGTGCTTGTGATAGCTTAGAATCAGTGTGGCTTCCAATACTGTCGGAAAACCCAGCATCCAAACGTTGAACCGCTGTCTTGTATGGATCCCGACTAAAGATGACAGGACCTTGAGGGGCCATGTGATGAAATGAATGACTGTCCTGATTCTGAATATTGCCAGGTGAGACTGCAGAAATTGTTGGAATGTGACAAGTTTGATTGACATTTTGAGCACAAGGTCGGACCTGCCCATCTGGCATGGATACATTATCTTCTTTGTTGACCACCATTAAGTTCTTCCCCATCAGCCTAAGTATAGGATTGGAGGCAGATGGACTACTAGCAGAATCAGCATCTGCGCGAGCTAAGAACCTCACTCCAGCACTACTGGGAGAGTCCTTCAAAGGAATAGGATCTGTGGGGGCCTTGATGAGCGGGAGGACCATCTTTTCAGATCCTGAAGTTGTGTAGCTGTTCAGGGGAACTAATTCAGGCCTGGCATCCAAATTAATCAGTGTCGGGTTTGAATTGCAACCCATCTGCTTCCCCTTGGAAGGAACTGCCATTGATGCCATTTTCCGCCGCCTTAGTAGCAGTGATTCTTGGTGATTTAGAACAACACTCTCAGAAAATCTCTCCCTTCTTTGGCAACAGCATGGCTGATCGTTTTTGAAGCCAAAAGATTCTTTCTCAATAGAGATCCTATCAAGTTTCAAGTACTCTCCAGAAAAAGTGGTTCTCTCCGCTCCTCTAGTTGCTGCTTGCAGAACTGCACCAGCATTGTGTGCCAACGGCTCAATTCCAGCGGACATTAAGCCTGACCTAATCTTGTCTTGAAAGACACAATGTCCTGCTGATGATGGTGGTTCTGAATAACTGAAATCAGATCTACCTGCCATGGAGTTAGAGATGGTCGATGCAGCAGATAGAGGGGAATCTGATGAATCACCATCGATCATGTCATGCTGGTCTGGTGAAGAGTGAACCCGGATAGTAGTCAATGATGAATTCCCTTGAAAATCCTCAGAACCCATATCTCTAGGACTCGGCAAAAATGACCCTGGTGGTCCAGGAATAGGAATGGGATCAACCTCAGGAAAAGAATCTACTTTAGCAGCTTCAGAATCCAACCCCGCCCCCATATCAGCATCTTGGCTCATCATGCCATTACCAGCTTCAGTAGCAGAAAACATCCTTTGGTCATTGATAAAAGGCCCAGTTGGACCAGCAGACACGTTGTTTTGACTTAAAAGCCCTCCATAATCTTCAATAGACCGAATGCAGTTTGATTGGACCTTTGAAGAAATACCCAGCTCATGAAATTCAGTGTTGACAGATTTACTCATACCTGCAACGCTCCTCCTCCCATCCAATGTCTTGGAAGATGGTTCAACAACAAGGTCCTCGTGGATTGGAACTTGTGTTCCAGGAGACTCTAGGGAATCAACTTTGTGTACATAATCGCCATCACCTCTACCTGAATAATCTACATTTATTCCCTCAGCATGACCACAGCCAAGTGCAGATTTTGAGCTCCTCAAATTCAAGGCTTCCAGCCTTTCAGAACTACAAGAAAATCTTTTTCCTTGTCTAGCTTCCTGGACGGGGCTTCCACCAAGAGACACCTCATCAGTCATTTCTTCTCTTTCAAGTAGATTTTCTGTATCATCCTGCATCAAATCATACTGTTCATCAACCTCAGAATGCCTGCCCACAGCTTCTTCATCTATTTCTCTTGTCAAAGGCTCTTGAGATTTGTCAAGGGTGGACCATCTCTTAACTTTGCTGCGCCTGGATTCAGTCACAGAAGATTGGCTGCTGACAGACAGTACACTTTTCCTAATGGAGGGGAATCTCATTGCTTTAGTTACAACTGCGTGAGAACTCCGGGATGATTTTGTGCTAGCAATGGGATACATATCAGAATTATTACTTGTATCATCATCAGTATAGACAGTCTTCTTGGTTAGTGAAGAGACATCATTCCTGGGAGAGTTTGGTGGTCTCAGCATACAGCCATCATGGATAGAGGTGCCATCTTTGTTCAACTGATTGGCATTCCGCTTCGTTGGTGGAAACAACTTATCCACTTTCCCACCAATCCTGTCTCCCACTAGAAGATTCCCTACTGTCTTTCTTCCAGGAGACCACTCCCTCCTCTCATTAACCTGGGCTTTATGAAAAACCTTCTCCATCCTCTCACTGTTTCTGGGAGAAGATATTTGATCATCACACAAAATGGTAGGTTTCTGAGCACGGCTCCTCTCTGAAAGACGATCACCCACAGATGATTGATCATTCTCAACCAGCAAGTCCTGAGCCAGGTGCCATTTACATTTCACAAGTTTATGACTCTCTTGTGTCGCAATCTTCTTTGGAAAACCCCTTCGTTTGGAGCAAACCCATGGTCTTAAAGTCCCACAATCACTAGGTTTGATTTGCCTCAACATCTGATGATCTTTCTGGGAACCCTTCTCCTTTCCATTACCTTCTTCTCGACCTCCAGAAATCTGCTCAACAGCAACATTAACAACCGTATATAACTGGATTTTCAACAGAAGATGGTGCATAAATCAGAGGGCAGAATGATCACGATAAGTGTACAAAATATGTCATAGAAGGGCTTAAGGAGGAAAAGAAGTGAATATGTCATACTGGTGTTCTAGCAATTTTTATGCGAAACAATTCCATCCATTTAACTTAAACACTGCACAAATGGAGGCGACACTATATCAGCTGAAGCATCCAAGAACATTTTTCCCCAAACATAACATGATTAAGCTTCTCGATGACATTAGAGCACAAAAGGTAAACTAGGAGGTCTATTACATACTCAAATTTCTTAGGTGTTGAAAATGGACAAGGGCAGTCAGTGAGATGAATACGCAGTTTGGGAAGGGAATTAAGAATATACATTGAAAGCAAGAAACTGTACCTGAGAACCAGGTGCCTCGTGGAACAATACTTTTTTTCTCTGAGAAGCAAGTTTTAGATACTTCTGATGCTTTTGTGCTAATCGTTTTTTCTTTTTCATTGAAATGTAGTTGCTTGCTTTGCCACCTTTCAAAGATTTCTTTCCTCCAATATCCTCCCTTCTTGCTCCAACATCCTCGCTTACTTCTGCTACTGGCGATGCATCATTAAACTGAGATAAAATCCTAACTTTGGTGCCATTTGCATCAATATAAACTGGCCCTACATCACCAGCATCCTCAGGATGAATTGGCAACACCCTTGGCCTTTTCCCTTCCTTAGGTGCATCACTCTTCTCAGTCTCTTGAGCGGGCAAGCTTGACATGGTGGCCCAGCTTGTACCATTTCTTCGATCAAGCTCTTCCAATGTGCAATATTGAGCAGTAGTATAAATATCCACCATCAACCGTGTCTTCCTTGGCTTAATTCTATACCTGGTTAGCTTAGAATCAGCTGTCCACTTGGGTGTTGACTCCACAGAAAGGCACTGATCAATGTGAGCATTCAAGGTGGTGTTGGACGAGGATGAGAAAGTTTTGCAAACAGGGCAAAGTTTTGAAGCCATCGTTTCTGATATAGTTGTACAATTAGAAGCAATATCTTCAGCCGAGGCACGATCAGAATTGCCACCAAATTTCACAATCAACCTGCACTTCTTATTAGCCAATGGCCTGGTGGTGCTTTCAGTCTTGTGGGTCACAGTAGCTCCAACTTCAACAGCAGCTTTGGCCAAAGTCCGAGTTTCTAAAGGTGATCTAGGTTTCCTGCTATCAGGAACTGAGTCTATCTCACTTGTTGCTGTAGATGGGAAATCATTTTCTTCTCCATATCTACACGAACTAATGTCTACACATGATTCTGCTAACTTGGCATGCAATTGAGCATCATCAGATAAGTCTACCACCACATGGCTGTCTGGTCTAGAAGCCTCCTTGTCAAAACTGCTTCTTTTGCTGATATTTTGCTTCTCAATTGAACTGGTTTCACCCTTAAATCTCTTGAAGGACTGGTTTCTTACAGTATCAAGAGGCTCAAATTGTGGCAACACGTCCTTAACGCCATGTTTCAAACAAAGTTGCAGATTTTTTTGAGAAAAAGGCCAGCTATTCTTGATATCCTTGCTCCTGGCTTTAAATACATAATCTCTGCAGTGCAAACAACCAAAGTTTCTGTTAGCATCAACTAAGATCAACCTATCTATAATAAGCTAAAGCTATACCAACCATATGGACACAAGAACTGGAACCCTTAATCATATCATATGTTAGAAAAAACAAGTCTGGTAGGGAAAATCTGGTTCATGGAACTGAAAGTGAAACACGAAACAGTAGGAAAACAGCCAAGCAAAACCCAAGTGAACACAAGATTCGAAAATCTAGTGTCTGAGAAAAAGTCTGCAGCTTGCAGCACGATATGGTTAGAACAAGGACAGATTGTTTGTACAAAGTGACATGAAATCACAAGCAACAACAATCAAGAAAGATTAGAGGTAGTGAGTATGACTCGGGAATCATTAAAAAACACAAACATAAGAGCCCCAAGTAGAAGCCTTGGATATGATCATGAAAAGCAAAGCGAGAGAAATTCCTCAAAAACCAGAATAAAGACAAGAAGTGGGGTGTGCCATGTTAAACTGAGCCATAAGGGAACATGTAACTCTGGATCTGACCCAACAAAAGATCTTAAAGATTGATTAGCTGACTTGGATCAGATCACCACTAAGAAAAAGAGAGAGGTAGTTAGCATAGCATAGCAAGACAGCCATGACAAAAGGAAAAAGAAAATCGAAACAGTACTATTCATAATACCCCTGAAAGGAAGGATCATATAAAAGGAAACAAAGAATGAATTGTTTTACCTTATGGAGAAATTAGGAAGTGGGGTAGGATTATCAAGACATGGGTTTGGGTTTGGGTTTGGCAGATCTACGACTACTACCTCTGACAAATTAGAAGGTGGAAGCTTATTATAAGTACTACTGGGGGGAAGCTGAGAAGCCCTCTCATCACTTCTACTATTCGGTTGAGAAGAAGAACATGGGGGATCTGGCACTGGAGGGTTTTCAATGGAAAACATCTGATGCTATTATTCTCTCTTCTTCTTGTGCTGTTTTTTTTGTAACAGTCACAAGCAGCAGCTTCTCCACAACTATATGTTCCAGTACTGCTGTCTTGCCTTATCTTTATCTTCTTAGTCTTCAACATATAGCTAGTAACTAGTTGTATATCACTACAGCCCTCCTCTCTCTCTCTCTTTCTTTCACTTATAAATTATAGCAGTAGTAGCTAGTGTCTTTCTTTTTATCTCTCTCTCTCTCTCTTTCTACCCAAAAAAACCCCACCACCAAAGAGCTATCACCACATGCGAGTGACCTCCACAGCCGCAACAACAAAGAAGCAAACCAAATTAAGCAGCTCTCGCTATCTATATATGTATTTTTACAAGAAGAAGAAGATCAAGGAACCCGACTAGATTCTTCATCCATTTAGCCAGCTGCCTGCAAGGATGAAAACAAACCGTGAGATCATTAACAGTTTTAGCAAAGACCTGGCAAGGAGATGAAAATATTAAACTCAGTGGCGGAAGGAACAGCTAGAGGTAGCAAATTAAGGAGAGTTTCGTTATTTTATGTGGGAATGATTAGTAGTGTTTTGATTGATAAGCAAAGCACCAAAATAAATTTTCAGCAAAACAACAAAAACTCAATAACACGCACTTAAGCAAAGATGATGTTGAAACTCTTCTCAAAAAGTTTGATGGGCATCCGTTATTTTATGTGGGGAAGACAAACCCACATGAAAAAGAAGAAAAAGGAAGAAGATGAAGCCAAGTACTGCTCGAGTTCAAGTACTCCACCAGCCAGCATCATCAAACCAAACCTCATATGATAATACATAGTCATAGAGATTAAACGCCTTAATTAAGAGATTGTAATTTACAAGAACACCAACTTTCAAAAATCAAAAGGAGCAAGGAACTCTTTAAAAGATGTAGCTATCCATCCATCCATCTTGCTAACCAAGGAATTATGAATGAAGCAAGTTAATTACAAAGACAAAAAAAAAAATCAAAGCAAGAAAGAGTTGGAGAAACAACATCAGTATAAATATATATGCCAGCTGAGAGAAACAAAGAGGACAGACAGACACCCCAAGATTCCTGGCATCTCTAGATACACGCAGATGTATACTTCAGAGTGAACAGTTTGAACTGACCAAAAACCAGGAGGAAATCTCATCTAATCTAATCTAAGAAAGGAAAGGAAAGGGCATCTGAGCAGAGACCAGACCAAACTCTTGACTGGTTCCAAAATATGGAAGAAACTGAACCAACCCGGAAACTCGAAAGGCAGAAACTTGAAACAGAGATGATGAAATCAAATGAACCCCATAAAACGCCAAAAAACAAGAAAAGACTTGATCTTTGAGACAGAAGCAAGCAACCCACTACGACAGATATAGAAGAGCAAGAAAAAAAATCAATAACAAGTGAAACCAACCTTAACAAGCTTTGTATTTGAGGGGAGAAAGGGAGGATTTTTTTGAGTGTTTGAAGAAGAAAGGAAAGGGAAGGAAAGAGCAGTGGTAAAGGGGAAAAAAAATAGAGAGAGTGAATAAGAGAGAGAGAGGAGCGAAAAGAGAACCACCCACTCACACATCAAAAGAGGCATCTGGTTCTCTTCTCTCTCTCCACTCCCCCATTAAAGAAAATAAAAAGAAAGTTCTGTGTATTGGTTATTTTCTATTTTGCAATAAATAAATCGAAAAGAAATGTATATAATTGTGAAAATCCAGATAATCTTTTTAACTGGATTTATTTTTGTATTTTTTTTAATAAAAAAGAGAAGCAATAAGTAGTTTTTCAAACAAATATCTTTTATATATATATATATATATATATATATATATATATATATATATATATATTTTTTTTTCTAATATTGTCTCGTGGAAACCAAATTAAATATAAAAACATTTAATCTGTGTCATAAATTACCATCAAACGTTTCTTCTTTCATTCCATTCCTTCTATTTTGATTGTTTTTTGTTTTCTTATTCAGAGAGCAAAATCAAAGTACTCTACTTTGAAGGATCAGCAATGAGTTTTTATTTTTATTTTTTTTCCAACAAATAATGAAGAGAAAGATAAAAACAAGAGAGAATGTGAAGGGCAGTAAACAGCGTGTGAGGAGTTTTTGAGGTTGTGTTTATCTTTGTCTGCCATGGGAGGGAGGGATGGATGGAAGGAGTAAATTGTAGATGAAAATCTTTGTTATAAACCAGTGAGAGAGATAGGCGACGACATATTTATATTTACTCAGTCAGCAGCTACCTATCAACCTCGCAAGAAAATAAAATAAATTAATTAAAAGGATCATTTGTTTATTGGTTGATATTTTCAATCCCATGGGGCATGTGGGTCCATGCATGATTTCTCCTCTCTATCCTCCCCCTTCTTCCCTATTTTCCTCATTGCTCGTTTCCTGCCCTTGCCCTTACTACACGACAACACCTCTCTCTCATCCTTTGATTGTTGACACTTACCACCCCTCTTTTATTTTATTTCTCTCTTCTTTTATTCCAAGTTTCTAGTGTTTCGAATACTTTTAAAATCTATTCCTTGAACTACAATGGCAGTTCTAAACACCCCAAGGTTTATAAATCTTTTTAACTCTGTTTTTCTTTTAATATAATCACAGACATGGCGTGGCTGCGTCCTTAAAAAAATATTAAAAATAAGTTTTAGAATACCTTCAAAAATATCTGTAACTTAAAATATTTTTTCATATTTTTTTTCAATAAATCAGAAAAAATAAAAAGGAACATTTCAATATACTATTTTTTTATTTGAATAAAAGAGGCTGATTGAGTGATTGTACTCGCCTGGTTCGAGAAAAAAGCGACATTTTGTTGAGAGAGAGAAGGGGAAGCGTGTGGGGAGAGCATTCATGCATCTAACGGTACTGTACAGTACCAGCAAAATGACAAGAAGATATATAGGGTGAATGGAAGACAATGGCTGTCATATACCTCCATGTCCCCATGGTGTCTGCGACCCTCTAAAAGAGAGGGGGCGCCGAGGAGGAGATCCTTCCTCCTCCTCTTTCTTTGCTTTTATGTAATATAATATAATATATGACTGCTTCCTTTCTTTCTTTCTTTGATCGAACGAAGTACATGTGTGTGTATACACACACACACTTCTGCTGCAACTCTCATATAGCTAGCTAGCCAGTAGGAGGACGAGGAGGAGGAGGAGGAGGATGCATATAATAAGGTCTCTCCTCTCGAAGCAAATCTATATCTATCAGCACAATATAAAATATACAGAGACTCAGCAAGGCAAATATGTAAATATGTTAAGGTGGCTCCGTTTCTCAAGGTCGAGCTACGCGTAGGTCACAGTGCAACCACACCACTCCTTTTCAATTCTTGGTTTGATTTCTTCATAAATTACATTACCCCCTTCATTGCCTTCACTGATCAACCCCCATATTTGCATTTTAAAAATATTTTAAAAAAATTTAAATTTTAAAATTATTTTAATATACCTCTATTAAAAATAACTTTTTTAAAAAATAAACATAACTAGACCTGAAGACATCTCATTCTAGCCTTAAAGCGTGTGTTCATACATATGCTTGTATGGTTATGGTTCTTTTCTTCTGTTTTTAATGGCACTCCCAGTGGTTTCACCATCAATCCCAAAGTCTATCAATATTCACTTCATATCAGAGATGAACATAAGAGAGAGATTGAAGAAAGATAATAAACAAAATATATTTTTTATTATTTCTCACGGATGGATCCAATGTGTTTTTTCTCTTTTATCATTTATCTCCTTCTTCAAATATTCATTGAACACTTCAAATCTTCTTAAATATATAGTAATATACCTCGAATCAAAACTGCCCGAAAGAATACTTTTTTCAATCTTTGAATATATAGTAATATCTTTAATTACGTGTTTTAAACGAATATATGTGGTATAAACACACACACACACAGCTAGATTGAGCGACGTTGCACCCTAGCTAGGGTTTATACGTGCTTTAAAATGTAGCTCCAGAATTTCAACAAAAACGTTTTGCTAATTAATATCATGACTTCGGCCATTCATTAATTATAGCAGAACTGAAACTAACGTGAAACGCACCCCCTTTTCATCTTTTTTTTTTTTATTTAAGTGGGGTGTCCGGGCCAGCTTACGCGCATCACAACTAATCCTCATGGTCCACTGAACATCCTACAAGCCCAGTGAGCAGGTAAGGCATCGCGAGGATGACAGGCATGCATAATAAAATTTAAACCCAAGTACGGAAAAAAGAGGACAAGCCCCTCCCACCACTAGATCAACCCCTTTTCATCTCTTTGATATCATTATATTATGCATTCATACGTACTGTGTTCATAAATGAATGCATATGCATGCATGAATTAATTTATTGATTGTAATTATATACAGTCGGTTTTGTTTTTTTATATATAAAAAATTACAGAGAATAATTCACCCTCCTCTCATTAATTCTCTCTCTTCTTTCCTCGATAGACAGAGGGACAAGAAAGAGTTAAAGAAAAAAAATTATAAAAAAAAGATTCCATTAATTCCTCTTCACCACCAAGGAATCATCCATGGAGTTGCCAATTCGATCCTTGCTATTATTATTTTCATTTTCTAGAGAACTAGCTGACACAAAGATCAAGCTAGTCATTCAATCTAATTAATAATGAGGTATTTTGATATAGTTCATACTTTCTTAAATTTAATTTCCTTTTCAACCCTCGATTGTCATTTTGAACGTATAAATTAAATAACAAAATCTGCTTTAACAACTCTTTGCTACCAAACAATTTCAGATGCGGCTCTGCCACACACTACAAGCTACAAGAGTTCAGTGCATGGTGGCATGCGAGACCAGCATTTACCATGGATTATAATAATAATTATAATTATTATAATAAAGTGACGGATCTACCATTCAATCTAAGATCATTAAGCTTTCCACGAGGTATAATGCTACTTTCTTAATGGTTAAATAGTCATTTACTAATAACGGCAAGAAGATCAGTACACTAAAATTGTTTAATCACCCTCCTTACCTTACATGAGGCTTGATGGTCTTTTTATTTTTTTAAGATAGTGAAATGATTTATTTGACTTTAAGATCAAATTATAGCTCAAGCCCCCTGTCCTTTTATATTGGTTATTTTGTAATATTCTTGTTGGTTGAGGGGCTCTTCAATAATTAACTTAGTACAGATATATTATTTTAAAAATACTAGTGTTACCTTAATATTTCCTTAATATTTTTTATGTTAGGAAAACTTTTAGCCGGCTTGTGGCATAGCTTGACCCACCTATTTAGTGTATATATTAAAAAATAAATAGAATAAAGGAGGAGGAGAATCTATCTAATATATATATTAAAAAATAAAAAAAAATTAAAGGAGGAGGAGAAGTTATTGTGCAGTGAGACACAAAATAATATTCATTATAATAGTTTAATATAATTTATCTTTGAGCTACAAAACCTGTGAGACACAAAATAATATTCATTATAATTGTTTAATGAAAATTGTCTTTGACATTAAAGAGAAGACGGTAAATTGTCATTTTCAAATTCTTTAGGGATAGATTTATTTTTTTCACGTTTCTTGCATAGTAAAATTACATAGTTCAACCTAAATCATTTTTTTAAAAAAAAAAAACTTACATTTAAGGGCTCTTTAATCTTTTTATTTTTTAGTACAATAAAATAATTTAATTATCTTTTAACCTAAAGTTTACTAAACTCTTTTAAGAGGCTTTTTTATCTTTTCATCATGGTTTTTTTTTAATGTCAAATTAACTCAAAAAAAAATTTATATTTTAATAAATGTTTGATATTTAAAAAAAAAAACTTTGTTAGTGTGTGCATGGTAAGTAGGCAACCCGTGCAAAGTTGTCTGGTCGTCAAACACCATCTTTTATTATAGTTTTTGATAGGTCTCAGCATCTCCTTTGTCATGGGAAAAAGCGTGAGCCAAATTTATCTTTGGTTTGGTGCTAACGATCATTTTTTGCACTTCTCTCTCGTTTTCTATCTCGAATTCCTTGTCAGAGCCTTTAGGGTGTGGTATATATTTCCCAACATCCAGCCTTCGTATATTTGTTATAAAACCTAGACATAAGTTTCAATCTATTTTTCTTTTTAATAACAAAACAATTGGCATAGTTTTATATTTTCCAACCCAATTATTAAATGAATCAACCAAATTATTTGTTACATTTTCAATCTTAATCTCATTATCAAACAAATGTTTAGACTATATTGTTATATTGATGTTATTCACTCAAAATATAATTGTTTTGTCAACATCATTGATATCCTATAATTATATAGTGGATTTGTATAAGCTTTTTCTGCTATAAAAAATCCAATTTTTATCTCCAAACCATAAACCCTCTTATTCTTCATATATGTGTGTGCGCGCACGCACGCCCTTTGCATTATGTCTATGAATAACATAGGGGAATATTCCATCCACAACCTCTCGTAAAATCTACAAAAAGAGAAGAAGAAAAACAAGTCAAAACATTATATAGCATAGAAAAACATGTTTAAATATTATGAACAATATACCGTTT